GTGGGGTACACCTATCGCTTGAAAATGTGTTATAAGGGCAGATCGTAAGACATTGCTCTCACTTTATTTCCTGCACGCATGAATTTGTCTTTGGGGCCCCCCCCTTTGACATCCATCCGGCCTCGCTGATAGGCAGTCAGAGAACATCATGGGTCAGGTTCCCATTCAGCACAAGTTGGCCTTTGTTCAGCTTAGCTCAGCTGAAGGTCTGTCTGGTTCTTGCTCTCTTAGGACAATGAGTGGAAACCAGGTTGCTTCAGCATGAATGTGGGAAGAGGAACAGAAGTCCAGCCAAGCAGTGGGATCTTTCACAAACTGAGGTCACTGCCCACAAGAATTGGGGTTGTCCTTGGATCACCGGCGTGTTGCTATGCACTGCTCCCTGGGGTGAACGAATGGGCACTTTCTGGCAGTCTGAGCTACCTGTGAGGAAACATCCAATAAAGTTCTGTTCATTATTTTCTAGATGTCAGCTTGCAAACTCTTTTTTCAGTGCCTCTTGTTTATAACTTTATGTTTTTGGGCTGGTGACAGGACTGTGTTATAATTAGGACTGTATCATCACCTGGGAGAGGCCAGGCAGCAAAAGCATGCGCATTGCTTACTCTCAGTATTCAGAGAAGGGGCAGGTGCAGGAGCTGTGTGTGCTGAGCTACAGCAGCTTGGGGATTTGTGCCCAGGAAGAAGACAGGACAGCTCTCCCAAAACCCATGCTCATCATTAGAGACTGGCTTTTAGCTCTTCTGTGGATGAGGTACAGGAACAGCTGAAATAGCAAGGGACAGGCAATCAACTAAATTAACCTTGAGGGAGATCATGCTAGTAAATTCCTTCTAACTCATCCTATTCCTAAATTCAAGTCTGGACTGGGATCTACCAATGGGAAACATGAGAACTCCAGTGACGCTCGGCAACTATCTGAGTTGAAAGCGAAGTGTGAATATCGTAGCTGGGGACCCTTGCAGGGATCATCTGTGCTGAACATCACACAAACATTGTTCCAACACATAGCTAAGCAGAACTTAAGCAGCTCCAGAATGAGGTCCCTGGTTATGGTACACAGGAGCTGGCTCCTGTCCTGAAAATGTTACAGTCAAAATACCTAGGTCATGCCATCCCAAACTAACAAGGCATTGAGCCCTCCAGGTGCTGGAGGAATGTCAAAAGCACCTGCACTTCCTTCTGCTAGCTGGCTTCATTTCGAAGCTTTTGGTATCAGTGTGTCTGGCCAGTCTGGAGCCTTAGCTGGGTAATGGGACTGAGGAGAGAGGAGCGGTGCCTCGCATGTTGCTGATGTGTAGGAAGGGGTCCATTTGAATTCTTACTGGTTCTGAATGAGAAGCAGGTTTAGCAGAGATCTGCACGGTTCCCTGCCTGCTCCATTAGTCTAGGCAAGGTACGGCATCTGTAGTCCGGGGTGTGATCTCTTTGTGTGTGCCTCCTACCAGCAGGGACAGGAGATGCTGTCCCTACATCCATCTGCTGTCTGCCATCCTCTGTTCTCCATCCTTGTTGGAGAGCCTTTCCTTTAAGCTTGCATCCTGCTTACTGCTGCACTAGCTAGGAAGCAGGAATTTCCCTGGCGCAGAGGGTGATCTTTGTGCTGACATGGAGTTCTTCCAGAGGGAGCTGCAGTGTCATGGGTGAGCTGCAGTCACAGGAGCTGCTGGGTGGAATGTCCAGAATGCCCTTCTCCCTCTTCAGCCTGCTCTGCTCCTATTTTTGTTTGTGTCTTGGGTTTTTTTTTCCATTTGAAATACCTTATCAGTCAACTGTCCTTTTGCTGGCTGGCAAATGGATATCAGTCTAGTCTAACATCAACAGGTGAGCATCATGGTGCCCTTGGTGCAAAAGACCTGCTGCTGAAGATGTGGGTCTGAAGAGGCCCTTCTTACCCACTTGCCACCCCTCCTGCCTTGGGGTGTTTAACCTTTGTGATGGTCCTCAACCTTATGCATGGCACAGGCTTGAAGTAGCCTTTCTGTTTCATCTCAGAGCTCTTAGCTGCAGTTAAGGGTCTTCCCAGCTGCCTGGCTAACGTCAGTTTTAGGTGATTGATCTTCAGCTTTTCTCCTTTTCCAGAGACAGGAGTAGCAGGCTGCTGTGGCTGTATAACAGTTATAAATAGCATACGCTGCTTGAATGCTTTTCAGATTACAGAAGGGTAGTTTAGGGGAATGGGCCCTCTGAGTAAAAGGTGATGAAGCTTGTTATGAGCCTTAGTTCCTTTGAGCTCTCCTTGCGGTAGCTCTCTATCTTCTCTCTTCTTGCTTCTCTTGGAAATGGGTGACCTGTATCTTGTTCTAGGCTTTTTAAAATATATTTATATATGGTGGTGAGCAGTCATGCCCAAGAACGCAAGGCAGTAGAGACTTAGATACTGGGTTATTTTGGAGTTGAGCATGACTGGTGGGGGTGAAAGCCAGTTTAAGGGAACGATCTTGCTATGTCAATAAGCTAATGTGAAGCTGGCTTGACATAGCTTGAAAATGGAATGTGAACTAGCAGCTGCCTTCACGTCTTTTCCCACAGGTAACAGTAACTTGCCCCTTGTAGCTGCTGCAGAAGGATCACAGGATGGAGCAGCTGGCCTCCCTTGTCTTGCAAGAGACACGTTGAGGTGTTTCAGGACACAACTTTCTGATGCTCCTTTGAGTCATCACAACTGAAATTCAGATAAGGACGATGGCCCTGCAGAACTCAGGCTCATGTATAACAACACCCACTGGGGCAGTGGAGGGTGCGGGGAAGAAGGGGGATATGGCTTTTCTAATGAAAATGGAATATTCCACATATTAATACAATTTCTAGAGGAATATTGGCTTAGTGAATCTGTATAGGGAGAAGTGTTGAATTAATTGGTTGGTGGGAGAAAAATTAAATGTTTTCCCAGCAATCAATACCAGCTATTAGGGATTGTCTCTGCCCCTCAGTGTGTACCTCAGTAAGGGAAGAGGAACTTAATTTAGCTTTTTCACACGACCCTGTGTCCTGAATCACCAGATCCGTCAAAAAACATGGGAAACTTTTCTGTGGACTGGAATTGGCACTGGACTAGTCCTAGTAATAATTGACAGCTTGTGGCTGACCCCTGTAGGGCTCTCCTCTCTTGACCACCTCTCATTCAGCTGCTCCCTCCCTCCCTGGCAGGCTGCGAACAGAATTTGAGCTGATTTTCCTGGAATAGCACTTCTGGTAGTAACAGGATTAAAATGCTCTCACCTCTTTGCCTCCCAAATGTATTTCCAAGAGGGCTTGTCATCTGTCATGGATCTAGCTATGTAAACCTGGCTCCTTTGGCTGAACTCTCAGCTAGCATTATTTCCAGGAAAGCTGGTGGTGCTGCAGATCACCCTGTGCCTGTCTCTTCCCACAGAGCCATTCTGCACTCAGCTTTGGTGCAAGTGAGCCAGCAAGTCCAACAGAATCACAGCTGCCCTTAAATTGAAATACCTCAGAAGGTCCTGTATGTATGCACACATGTATAAAACAAATAAACAACCCCAAAAAACCCAAATACCCAGGAAGTATTCAAAGAATGAAGTTGCTAATTAGCAATAATTTTTATTTTGTCCTCTGTTCTTCTCTGTCCCCCTGCCTCAGTTGGCTGTGAAATGGTGACAGAGCAGGCAGCTGCAGCTGAAGTCTCCCCTCAGTCTGTTTCCTGGCATAGTTGGGACTTTGGTGTTTTGTTTTTCTTAAGCAACTTCCAGCTCATATTTTAGCTCAAACAGTCATAAGCTCAATTTAATTGCAGTTGCTTTCAGTATTGCTATCAAATCTTTCTGCACACTGAGATGCCAAGTCTGAAAGCATCATTCTCTAAGCACCATCTCTTGGGTGACACCCGCCCCTCCCCAGCATGGTCTTTGCACACAGGGTGTCTCCCCACAGCTGCATGCTCAATACCCACCCTCCCATTGGGTTCTTCAGCTAAGCCAGCAACTCCCTGCAATGCACTCAGTGCAGTGGAGTTTCCTGGGGTTGTGTGGCCAAGGTGCTTGGCTGGGATTCACTCAGTTTTTGTCTCTGTTGCAGATCCTCTGTGTGTCTTTCCTCTCCTTGTCAGATGTGAAGGCGTCTTAGGGAGTGTTATGAGTGCTAACGTCATGGTGCTGATAAAATGTAATTTCTGTGAGGCTGATTTCCTTCTTTTTGGGAAGGATGTTGAACCATGTGGCTACTATCTGGAACAGGCTGGGCTCAATGGCTTACTGCTAATTGAGTAAGTAAGATCAGAATTAGACTGCTAAATACTGCTCTAGGACAGAGCAAAAGACTGGAGTTATAGTGCTAAAAATTGCTTCAGAGGGGGGAACTTGGATTTTCTGCTAACTTGCTACCTTACAGTGCCTAAAATCCTGACCCCAGAGACTCTGGTCATGTTCAAGGGTCCAGTTCTGTGCATGCTTGAGCTACTGGTGTTGATGGGTTTCCTAAGCACAGAATCGTGTTCCCAGGCTGTGTTGATGGAAAACATGTTGCTGGCACATGTGTGTTGCAAAAGAGTGGTATGTGTCAATATAGCTTTGAGGGTGTTGTTGCTCTTATCTCCACTGTATTTATTAACCTGGGTCTATCTTGGGTTCTTTCATTCTGCTGCCTCCTTTCTGCAATTGCAAGACTGGGTGGCAGAGCAAAATGGAGGGATTTCTAGTTGGCTTTCATCTTTCTCCAGGAACTGAACTTCAGTTTGATTGGAGAGAAGTCTTGATTTGTGAAAACATGTCTCTCTTCTCCTGGTTTCTTTAATTCTTCCCACATGTATATTCCTGATGCCCTGGGAGTGCAGTGATTGCCTGATCTCAGAGGAGCTGTTGTCTTGTATGTCACCATGGCTAGGAGATGCTTGTGAAAGCAGCAGTCAGTGTGTGCAAAGGGCAGCATGCTGGGTGCTGAGGGTTTGGCTTGGGTTGATGTTTTTGTTTTCTCCCATCCCTCCTTTCCCACTGCAGAGCCCTATGCTCTTGCCAGATCGGGCTCCTAGTGACTGTGAGATAATGGGCTTAGCAGATGCCTTCCCTTTTGTGCAGATGGGGATGTCTCCTCTCCTCCAAACCCAGCTGGGTCACTATGTGAAAGGGAAAAGCAGCCTTCGTGAGTCCTGCTTGCCATCAGGGCCTAGTTTAGTGCTGCGGAATCAGACATGGAAGGGACGGGACACCAAAGACACCGCAGGTGGCACTAAGTCACTGATTCCCTAATAGAGCATAGCGTTCGTCTTGCTCACCTGCGATGTGGCTGATATTCACAGCAGAGCTGGGATCGCTTAGCTGGAAAGCACTGACATTCCTGTTTACTGGCAATTTTGCTTACAGGCAGATGACTTTTTTTCATGTCAGGAAAAAAAGATGCTTGCTAGAAAAGTTTTAGTGGAAGATGTTTTGAAATGGATTCAGCCATAAGCTCAAAGCTGTTAAATCTTCCTTGTTTTCTTTGTTAGTCTGTGTTTTCACCAGCCCTGCATTGGCCAGTGAAACAGGATCTACTGAAAAAGTGTGAGGCCTTAGCCAGATGCATGTCGTCTTCCTTGACTTTATAAAACATATGTAAGATGAGGGTAGCTGTTTGCAATGAGGGCCGAGACAGCAAACTTTCATGACTTCTGTAACACTGCCCATAATAGCCTCTCGTCTTGAGTTATATATCAGCCAGTGGGGAAAAACTTCTGAGTAAAGCTGTGAATTAGGCTTTTCTGTGCCTTATTTTGTAAAGGAGAAGGCTGGTTTTGCTAGCATTTCATGATGCATTTTTCTTTCTCTTGTTGCAGGTGAGGCTGGCGCCAGCATTATTCGAGTGTCAAAAGAAGCCCGGAAGAGGTTCTTGGGCCCACTCCACCCATCTTTCAACTTGGTGAAGATCATTCGGACCTGCCTGTCCAAGACTGTGCCAGACAATGGGCATGAGGTTGCAGCGGGACGTTTGGGTATTTCCCTGACGCGGGTCTCTGATGGAGAAAACGTGATACTGTCAGACTTCAATTCCAAGGAGGAACTGATCCAGGTGACTGGAAACTTATTGCAGAGGACTAGGCAGGAACTGCATGCAGTTTTGTTTTGCCTTGGTCTCCAAATGTCCTTAGTAATGGTGTATAATTGTTAGCACATGCCAGTGTGGTGTTCTGAGAAGAGTAATAGTTTCAGTGGGCTTTGATCTGCTTTTTACATTCTGGATCTCTTTCTTCCTCAGGCCTGTGTCTGCAGCACCTTTATCCCTGTCTACTGTGGGCTGATACCTCCAACCTTGCGTGGAGTGGTAAGTAAGACTCTAAGATGCTCCTTCATTAAATCATATACTAATGAATAAGAAGGCAGAAGGTACTCAGTTTTGGCAGTCTTATTGCCTGTCTGCTGGCAGCAAATATCCTGAAGGGGCATGAGAAATTCCCAAATAAACAACTTCCAACAGTGGATGTGCCTTCTTTCCAGTGCTGCCTGCAGTTGGCTATAAATGTCCCAAAGACTAGAGGATTTAACATGATGGTAATATATAGCAATCTGGGCAAGTGCTGGCTGTGACTTATCATATGGTTCTCCTGGCTGCTTGGTACAATGCTATCTGTCACTGAGGCTCCAACCCTCTGCATGTGGAAAGAACTTGGGTCCAGGATAGAAATCATGAGTGTAATCCCTCTCCCACATGCCTGACACTTTCTGTGGGGTTTTAACTAGTGGTGCTGATACCAGATCTCTTTTCTATGGAGTTCTTCCTGTCCTTCGTCTGAGAATAATGTTCTTCTGCCTGGTAGAGCTTTCTTTAACATCCTGTCCAAGGCTGTCCAGAGCAATTTCTCCCTTCTGTGTTTGTGCATTAGAAACGAAAACATTTGAAAGCTGCACAGAGCTGGAGTGTCTCTGAATATTGCAGTCATGTTTAAGGGCGTCAGCTGAGCTTGGACTCCCCTTGTGCTACATAGGTTAATGCGCATATTAAAAGGCAGTTTGTTTGCAAACTAAATAGTCAAAAGGGAGAGGGAGAGCTGCTATTGATGTGTGTGCGCCCTGCTTTCCCATAAGTGACCTGACCAAGATGCCTCGGTCTGTCAGAGCATGGCATCAAATCTGCTCCCACTGCTACCTGTGTCCTAAAAGTTAGGTCAGTTTTGCTCCTGCATAATATACAACTTAGAATCATAGAATCATTAAGGTTGGAAAAGACCTCTAAGATCATCGAGTCCAACCGTCAACCCAACGCCACCATGCCCACTAAACCATGTCCCTAAGTGCCTCATCTACACGTCTTTTTAAATGCCTCCAGGGATGGTGACTCAACCACTTCCCTGGGCAGCCTGTTCCAATGTTTAACTACTCTTTCAGTAAAGAAATTTTTCCTTACATCCAATCTAAACCTCCCCTGGCGCAACTTGAGGCCATTTCCTCTCGTCCTTTCGCCAGTTACTTGGGAGAAGAGACCGACACCCACCTCGCTACAACCTCCTTTCAGGTAGTTGTAGAGAGCAATGAGGTCTCCCCTCAGCCTCCTTTTCTCCAGGCTAAACAACCCCAGCTCCCTCAGCCGCTCCTCATAAGGCTTGTTCTCCAGACCCCTCACCAGCCTCGTTGCCCTTCTCTGGACACGTTCCAACATCTCAACATCCTTCTTGTAGTGAGGGGCCCAAAACTGAACACAGTATTCGAGGTGCGGCCGCACCAGTGCTGAGTACAGGGGCACTATCACTTCCCTGCTCCTGCTGGCCACACTATTTCTGATACAGGCCAGGATGCCGTTGGCCTTCTTGGCCACCTGTGCACACTGCCGGCTCATGTTCAGCCAGCTGTCGACCAACACCCCCAGGTCCTTTTCCGCCAGGCAGCTTTCCAGCCACTCTTCCCCAAGCCTGTAGCGTTGCATGGGGTTGTTGTGGCCGAAGTGCAGGACCCGGCACTTGGCCTTGTTGAATCTCATGCAGTTGTCCTCGGCCCATTCAATCCAGCCTGTCCAGGTGCCTCTGCAGAGCCTTCCTACCCTCGAGCAGATCAACACTCCCGCCCAACTTGGTGTCATCTGCAAACTTACTGAGGGTGCACTTGATCCCCTCATCCAGATCATTGATAAAGATATTAAACAGAACTGGCCCCAATACTGAGCCCTGGGGAACACTGCTCGTGACCGGCCGCCAACTGGATTGAACTCCATTCACCACAATGGTGTGAAACTTGGCTGATTTTGTCTCTTGTGCAAGCATGCTGGGCAGGGAAATGACCTAGAAGAAGTGTCCAATGTCTAGCCCTTCAGATAAGTGACAGAATCACTAATGGTTTGGTATTTGCTCAACAACTACAGGCAGGGTTTTTGTCCCACAGCTGGTGGGAGCATAACAGTTGCTCTTGCCTGACACATTTTTGGGGCTAGTTGAGGTCAGTGTGGATCAGGCAAAATCTCAAAATTCCACTTACAACATCAGGATTTCTGGAATATGCAGCTGCCCTGGCACACTGAGGGATGACTTCTCATGTCAAGATTCCTCATGGGGAAAGGTGGAGAGGGAATATATGAGATGAGGAAATTAATTCCTACCTCTTCCCCAGAAAACTGTGGCTCTTTGTGTCTCTGAAGGGGGACTGCTGAGGCGAGAGGTTAAATTAGGTTGGGTATGGGCCTGGGAAAAAAGGCTTTGAAACGGGATTGCATGATTCCTAGCATGCCTGTGATAACTGTATTTGCCACAGGACAGACTGACAGGCCTGGCATGAGGACCAGTTTTCAAGGCAATATGATTGTGTGCAAGGTGTAAAATCCATATTCTGCCTTCCTCCTAATCTTTTTCCAGTGTTCACTTCTCTGAGCTCTGGTAGCCCCACGGAGTGGATGATGAAGATGGGTGGAGGGAGAAAAAAAAAAAGAATTCTCAAATACTGAGAAATGGAAGGGTCAATAACTGTTCTGTTAACACGTGCGCTAGCTGTCAACTGTCTGCGGCACATGGGTGAGATGAATCCCTAACAAGGGTCACAAAGCTAGTTGTCAGTGATTCAGATATCAATATATTGTCAGAGATGACTCACTATGTGAGGGAGGGGCCCTGTGAGGGGGAGGACATGATAAGGGAAGGGAACTGGCCACTCCAGAGTTGACCCCAGTCCATGAACCATCCCCAAAAGCTGCTGCTGCTCACGCCTGCAGGCAACTGGGGGCTCCAGCCCATGGCTCTGTGCTGTTGGGGGCTTTGCAGGAGGTTGGAGAGTCGTTAGTCTTGGGTTGCTGGAGGTTTGGGCAAATCTAAAGAAGTGGCGGCTGATCTTAAGTAAGGAATGGTAATTGGCATTGCTTGGGGAATGGTGGACCAGAGAGCGGGGTCTGCATGTGTATTCCTAGATTTCCATGCAGTGAGAAGGCTTTGCCTGTCAGCCTTACTGCAGTTAAGCCTTCTTTCTAATGGCATCCGTTCACTCGTGCTGCCACCCTCAGGGAAACGTATGTTTCTGCATCCTCACTACAAAACTAGTGTTGTCTTAGCTAAGTGGCCAAAATGCAACTCCGTCTTTTTTAAACAAAGTGGGTGTCTGGCACTGTGTTGCCTGCTTTGCTCTGTCCTCTTCCCGCTCAGCCTGTCATGGTCTCATCCTTGCAGAGGGAGTCAACCAGGCATCTCCAGCTCTAGCTGTGCCTCGCCTTGGCTTTTAGTGGAGCAGCTTTGGGGAGATGACGACAATGACAGTTTGCTATGGTTGCTTTTGGCTTAGGGAAAACTGATGCCCACTTTAAAAGGCGGTGAGGGTTCAATTGATTTTTGGCACCTCTGTTGTCTAGAAAGCATCCGGTAAGCAAGCTGGGTGTTCCTGTTTCCAACAGGGTGTACTTTTCCTTGAGTCTAATCTATCTTTCTTCCACTTTCTTCACTGCCCAAACCCAGGTGGTGCAGGAGTTACTAACCATGTCTGTCTTGATACTGTGTTTGGTGAACAATACTTGACATGAGGATGAAATGCCCTGCGCTATGAGTTAGTGCTGCTGTAGCCTACAACTGTAATTACAAGCCATCTCCCTTGAACCTGTAGGCTGTAAGCAGAGGCAGCCCTGAGGTTTGGTTTGCCCCCATGAAACCTGCTGTGCAGCCCACCCTGACCCTGTTGCCTTGATGGGAACTGGATTCCTGTAGCTGAATTTGATTGCTTTCAGCCCAAGAGCCTATGAACTGTTCCCCAGGCTCAAAGGAGCTGCTTGAAGAGGTGTTTGCCTGTCTGCCATCCACAGCAAGAGAGAATGAAGTGCAAAGCAGACGGCATTTTCCTAGGCATTGTGCAGCAAAAGACCAATGTCAGTGGTCAGTCTGCCTGTGAGATGAGGCAAAGCATGACACAGGATGGAGTACCTCCTCTTCTGATCAGCATTTCCATGCCTGGAAAGAGAGCAGAGCTGAAAGATGTTACAGCTGCTGCTTATGGGGCTGTGTAGCTCCTGATGATGATTTGCATTTGAACCCATCCAAAGGGAAGGGTTCCAGGCAGCAAATGGTAGGATCAACCCTGATACAAAATCAGCAGGACTCCTCTGTAACTGAGGTTCACGAGAGCTTGAGTTGTTACGCTGTAAAGGTCTCAAACTTCCTGCTCTTTTGGCTTGACCAATGTCCCTTTCCTTTTATCTTCTGCATGTTGTTTGCTCTGCCAAAGGCCTGTGATTGGGATTGGCTTGCTCAGTTCCTTGTGCAATTATGGTACTTCAAAGAATTGAGTACATGCTACTGGGGTTGTCCTTCCTGCAAGGGTAACGCAAGTGTATTTATGGTACATATGTACAGAACACTCTCTGATAAGAGAGTGCCTGTTAGGAGCAAAACCCAAGTCCCTTGTACGCTGTTATCACACCACAGCAAGTAAATTCCAAATGTGTATGCATGTGTTGGGATTCCTGCTCGATAAGCCTGCTAGCAACAAATCAGCTGGTTTTACTCTTAGTTTAACTCTTAGTTTACTCTTAGTCCACTACTGGGGACCTGTGTCTGAACTTATTTGTTTTAAACACAAGTGAAAAATGGCACAATGTCACAGTGTGACAGCTTAGATCGGTGCTAATTTGCACTGCAGGTTGTTGTTCATGTGTCATATTATTTAACTGGACAACAGTCAAACCCCATAGGAGTTGTAAGTCAGCAGTCACACAAGTGAATATGCCTTTCTCATTGCACACTTGTGACCAACACACTTGACCATAGGAAGAAAGGCATGTAGCAAAAGGACATTATAGACAACACAACTGTGCTATCGCTAGTTTTGATTCCTCCAGTGCTGGTGGATGTACTCCATTCTGTTCCCAAGTTGTTGGCACAAATACGAACAGGGACACTGAGTAAAAAAGCCGCTTGATCAGTTACGAGAACAAAGAGTGCTTCATTTGTCTTGATTTCAGAGGTACGTTGATGGAGGGATTTCTGACAACCTGCCACGATATGAGCTGAAGAACACAATCACAGTGTCTCCATTCTCGGGAGAGAGTGATATCTGTCCACGGGACAGTTCCACAAACATGCATGAGCTGAGAGTCACCAACACTAGCATCCAGTTCAACCTTCGCAACCTCTACCGCCTCTCAAAGGCCCTGTTTCCTCCGGAGCCACAGGTGAGCTTCCTGGCAGCACCAGAACTTGGGGACAGTAGATAGGCACTGGCTATGCTGTGCACTTTAGCAGAAGAAGATTCCAGACGCTGTCAGTTTTGTATCTTTTGTTTGTCTGTTTTTTAACCTTGACATTATCAACCCAGTGACTTGGCAAACCTTGACCATCTGCACAAGGTTGTATAGGTTGCTTGATTTTCTTTTGCTATGGGGAGATCTGGAATTTAGGTGGTAGCAGTTGCTTGGAAAGTATTCCCATGTGGCTCTCTCTAGAGTGGTGTTTGCCAGGAAATCAGGCTCACTTGTAAACAAGTATGTATCAGTATCGGCCATTGGAACAAATGTGCTCTTGAGTTTTTTAAGGTCAGGAGTGAGCCGCCAGCCTGAAGCCGGTGACTGTCTCCTAAAAAGTGCCAGTAGAGCAGGTAGCACTGCAAACAACTTTGCATGCTTCTGAGCAAACACAGCCTCAGATAGCCCTGGCATTGGGGCATAATAAGCATGCATTCATGTGCTGAATTACTTGTACAAGTTTTTCCCTGCCCCCTCTCTAGTCTTAGCTGGCTTTATCTGCAAATGCAGTGGCCCTTCCTGGCATCTGCTGGGAAGTATTCTGGGCTGCTTGTCAGAGTGACTTGCTGAAGGCTGCCCACAGCAGCATCAGCTCTAGGTGGGGAAGTGAGGTGGCTGCAACTCTAAGCCTGTACTTAGGTAGGATTCCAGATGTCCCTTCCAATCTGACTTACCCTGTGATTCCCATATCCAATGTATTCATGTTATACCTCCTATTCCTGCTCAAAACCTGGGAAGAGCTGGCAAGGATAAGACTTGTCCTTGGGGTAGTTCAGGAGTCACAAGAATTCCTCTGAAGCCAGCATTGAGCTGGGTGTTTGCTAGGCTCAGCCAGACAATCTCCAAATGAATTGCTCTTGCCTTTCCCTGCCCACAGGTACTGCGGGATATGTGCAAGCAGGGCTATCGGGATGCACTGCACTTCCTGAAGAAGAATGGTAAGGCAACGGGTGTTTGTAGGGTGCACTGACTTGCCTCTTCTGTGCCAGGCTTGGTGGCTTGGCTTTGACGATAGCCAATATGAAAGGTGGAAGGGCAGAATTGAGCTGTGCCTCAGGTATTGGAACATGGAATTTCCGTTAATAAGTCTATTTTAGCACTTCAGGCAGCAGAGGTGGAGTAGACACCTTTCTAGTGCAATGCAGGACTCTAACCACGCTGATACCAGAGCAGTGGCTTTGGCACAGCTGAGTGTGGAAGCTACTTAGCATGTGCTCAGTGCTACACCAACACAGTTGTTAGGCACCGGTGCCATTTGGACCTCCTGCAGATACCCTGCTCCTTTTTATGTGCAGCTAGGGTATGTCTAATGTGGCACAGCAGTGCAGAGTGCAGGCATGCCCTCAGCAGCCCCCAGCACCTGGCAGTTTGACACTACTGTTTCACTCTCTTCTACGTGCAACCACTGGATTTTCTTGCCTCCAGCTGTTGTAGCAGGTTGAGTGTGTTTGATGCCACCTAGTGTCAATTTATAGCGGATAAAGCACGTTTGTTTGCTCTGTGATGCGTAGCTTACTGGGACATGAGCAGTCATGCAGCTGTGTTTGTGGATTAAGCTGCAGGAGGGAAATCTTAACTGCAAGATTAGTGACTGGCAGATAACAGCAACAAAACACTGCCAAACAGCACCCTGCAATACTTAAAGGGGAAAAGTTAGAATTTCTGGTGGGGAAAGAGAGGATGATCTTAAAGCAGCAAGGTTTCTAACTCATTGTGGTAAGTGTTACAATGGATGTAAGCTAAAGGGACCCGGTGTGATGTATGTCTGTCTGAGGGGGGTTAGGGTCAAGTGAGGGCTAACACTCTAAAGGCCAGGCAAGGCAGGGCAGCTAGTTTATATCGTCCTTATACTATGACTTCTCTTCTCAGGTCTCCTTCATCGTCCAAGTCCTGCCCGTCCCCTCCTTGCCATAGAAGCCCCCCCAGAAGAGAAAAAAGAGGAAGAAACAGAAGCTGAGGACCAACTAGAGGACAATACTGCCCTTGCTGTTGTTGAAGAGCACATCTTCGAACACTTGCCTCCCAGACTGAACCAAGGTATGATCCAAAGGGAGAGAGCCCAGGCAATCTTCCTGTGCTGCTTGGTCCACTTCAGAGGATTATTGGGATGTGGGTATTGCTTGTGGCTGGACTTGGCCATACCTGGGGATTGAACTGGCACCCGCTGATGGTTAGATGGAGTTGGGGAATCTTAGATAAAGTTGTGGCTTACCCTGTGGAGGCTGAACTGGGAGAGGGTCACTCATCTGACAGTGTTCTGCACAGTAAGGAGAGGAGGGGATGTTCACTCCTTTGGGAGTCTGATAAAGCTAAAAGCTGCTGGTCTCAGCTGTGCTCGGAGAATTACTACCCTGAGCAAGACTTCCTTAAGAAGTGGAAGGTGGACAGCATAGACATCAGGCTGGGTAACTTCTGGGGTATGGCAAGGAAAGGAGTAGTCCCACTGGGGGGATTCAACCATGTTCTCTTCTGTCTTCAGCTCTTCTGGAGGCTTGTGCTGAAAGAAGAAGTTTCTTGACTGGTATCACCAACATGCTGCCTATACGTGTGGCCACGGCAATGATGGTCCCGTATATGCTGCCTCTGGAGTCTGCGGTTTCCTTCACTGTCAGGTAGGCCTTTGACTGGTTCCCTCAGTGGTTTTCTTCCCAGTGCAATCAAGTGTTTGATGTAGCTGGTGGAGCATGAATGGACAGAGTAGAATCCTCTCTAAGAGGAAAAAGTTCCTGCCACTTACCAGACATAGGGAAAAAAAAATTTCCTACCTTCATGTGTCATTACAGTCAGTAATTCCAGCTTGAAGGAAGATGACTGTGTGCTGGAACTTGCCCTAGAAAATGGTGATAAATTTTGGAGCCTGGAGAGAGACTTCTGAACTGGGAGTGCAGGGATGAAAGTAGGAACCACACAAGAGGTGGTTCCCCTCTGGAGCAAGGGATAGAGTAGTCCCAGCCATTTCCAGCTCTACACTTATACGGCTGGGAAAACAGGTCTGTCAGACTTGTTCTTAGTACAAAGTACCCTATGAAAAGTTTCTGGAAGGAGATAGTTTGTGATAGAAAAACTCGGGGAAAACCACTTTTCAAATCTGAAAATGGATGAAAAATATGGAAAGTGCAGACACAAAATGTAATGAATAAGTTCCTGGGCTGTTCTCATCCTTCACAGCTTCTCCCCCTTAATTCTATGAATGATAGTATAAATTGCTCTTACTCCATTTGTCACTAAAAATAATGAGTAACCATTGATAGGAGGCAAAACTGGCATTATTTCCATCCTATCCTTTGTGTGGCCCAACTAATGGTCGTCTCCTGTCTCTTCCCCAGGTTGCTGGAATGGCTCCCAGATATCCCTGAGGATATTAGATGGATGAGGGAGCAGATGACTGAAATCTGCAGCTATCTTGTGAAGAAAGCCAAGAAGAAACTGGGCAGCCATCTTTCAGCCAGGTATGGCTGCTTTCCTCCACAGCACTATTCTGGAGGAGCCCCCCATTTCCCCTTCCACCTTTGACTTCTGCAGACTCTACTCCATTGGCGCGGAGCAAGTAAGGCACAAATTGATCAGAAGGATTTACTGCCCAACCTAAAATGCAGATCTGGTCCATGGTCTCTTGGCTTCATTAACTGTTGGGATAGACTCAGCACATGGTCTCCTTCCTTCTTCCCGTTGCAGGGCAGACCCTATAATGAAGCTGTTACTATAGCAATAGGGCAGAAGATGTAGGTCTAATTAAAACAATATGCTAGCTTATTCCATGCTCCCTGTAGAAGACAGAGGTGCTTGTCTGTATGGCATTTGCTGGCCCAGGGTCTCCTAAAAGTTCCTTCCAATGGGTACTTGCATTCAAATGACCTTTTCTGCCTCCAGGTCTAGGCCTGGTTTAGGGTGGGGGAGGCACTGGGGTGACCAGGAAACACCAGAGGGTTTCCAAATGAGACAGAATGCTTTGGGTCTGTATGTGTGCCTGTGCTGCTGAACTGAACTCTCTGCAGTAGGCCATGGCTCGAGGCTGAGGGAAGACTGTGTTGCTTGGATGAGGTTAGGAAACTGTGTATTACAGTAGTAAGCAGAGGGTCCCAGCTGTGATTCAGATCCTAGTACAAGGGGGTGATTCTTACCCACAAGAGCTCACAGTCTGAATAATCAAGAGAGATGAGGGGGGGAAAACAGGCACACGCAGAGATTTCTGACTAAGATCATGCAGTCAGTGGTAGAACAAAATAGCTCTATGGTTCTGGAGCTCTGGTCTGGTGACCTGCTCAAGTCTTCCCATGTACTGATTCTTTGCATGTATTTGCCTTTCAGGCTTTACTATCACCTTGAGCTTGGAGGGCCCCAGAGCCTGCCAATTTCTTCTGCACCGGCTTGTGGTGAAGCACTGCCTATGTGGATGAGAAGCAACCGTTCCCTGTCTGATGTCATGATGAAGTGGGAGGAGTACCAGCGCCAGCTCATGCTGGGCTTGCTTTGCATCAATGTGGACATGCAGGCCTCCCTCTTCCCTCGGGAAGGGTTTCAGATAAAGCTTCCACCTCTAGACTGTGCGAAAGAGTGCCTGCCACTCTTCTGAGCCTGCTGCTGTGAGAGGATGAGGGTGGGTGGGAAGGGGAGCGGATGTAGGGTGGGACTGGTCTCATCCCTCAGGAGCAGGGCTGCCCTGTGCTCGTGAATATGCTGCAAAGGGGATTTCCCCGGGATGGAGACTGGTGGAATTGACTGTAGCCATTTGTTGCCCACTGGGTCAGGCAAGGGATCTCTGTGTTCAAAGGCACACGTGGGCTGATACCTTGCTCTGGACTTGTGTTGAGGCCTGGCCATTGCCTGTGGCCAGGCTGATGCTGACCCAGCTGTGCTCTCCCAAATAATGCACTTTGAATTGCCATTGGCTTTTTGCTGCCAAATAATCAGGACATAGATGATGCTCTCAAGTTCATACAGCTTTTAGCTTCCTTTGATTTTTAGAGCATAAGTCTTCTTTTTTCTTAAATCATCTGACATCCCCTAGCTCTTTGTGCTACTGAAAGATGAAGTAGCTTCTTGCTAAACCAATTTTTCTCATGGCTTTCAAATCTTGTCTTGACTTTCTTGTTTGCTGAAGCCATGTTCTTTCCTCTGTCCCTTAACTGCATCCCCACTGGAAGTCAGAGCTGGCACGGCTGCAGACTCACTGGGACTGCAGAAATGTGAAAAAGTTATGTATTTACCCTGATTCATGTTGTCATGGTCTCTCCCTTTTTTATTTTTGTCCTCATGGAACTTCTGCAGCTTGAACTCTGAGTGTTAAGTAAGTCATTGAGCTTATTTTAAAGAAGTAATTTGGACAGATTTTTTTTTTCCAGGGAAACATGTTGAATTTGAGGCCCCATTCCTGTCACTGTGAATGGAATTAGTGTGGGGTTGCTCTGGAAAAGCTCAGCCTGACTGTCTCTGGATCAGCTTAGCAGCTGAAGCAATGTGAAGTGCTTGTAGGAAGGTGAGATTGTGCAGGGGATGTTGTTTTTGAGAGGCTTGTGGTGGAGTGTCACAGCAAGTGCTGGGGAAGTGGCTGCCTCTGACCAGGGGTCGGGCTTTGCCCCTTAAGGGACCATGCAACTGAAGGAAATTCCAAGTGGGTGATACAGAAGGGATCTCCTGCCAAACTGGGACTTGGCTCTATCTTTTGCTTGAAGAGTTTGGACATTGAGGCTTTGGAGTGAGAAGGATGTAGGCTTGTAGCTATACCAGCCTCACAGCTTGCCTCTCTCATGTTGTGGCTCACAGGTACAGCTCTGCAGCTGGCAGTAGCAGAAGGGTAAGTGGAAGTGAAGTTAGGAGTGTTGGTGCACATGCAGCCTGCTTGGAACTTGTTACGTTTGTCTTGTCCCTTAAAAGACCAGAGCTAGTGGGTCTTGTAGCAGGGCAGGACTCTGCCTTGTAAGGTACTGCCTTCTCAGTGGTGGTCCGGTTGTGACTTGCTGTGCAGAAGCATGAACTCTCTGTTCTTCACAGGATAAGACATGGCTTCCTGTGGGGATTGCATGTACTTAAGCTTAAGTCCTTGCACTATGACATAAAACCAGCTCCTGGTATCTTTTTCTGCAGCGTGCCTAGCTGCTTGAGGTGTCTTCTACCTCTCCTAGCACAAACAGTATGCAACTGGCCAAAGCAAACATACGCTGTCTTTGCTGGGAAGCAAGACGGTATCTGAAGCTGATTACATAGCCTATAGGTGGTATAGTGATTTATAATAGTCTCTTTTGCACCTGTGATTTAGAAAGGGAAAATAACCCCAGAAGTTCTACTAATAGCTGGAGAAAGTAGTGAATCTGCTCGATCGTATCTGCACAAGCAGTGTGGGTGAGGTGGTGGGTGCTGTTTCTTACCAGCACAATTGTGCACTGGGCATGGGGTTTGAGTGTTTGTGGTGGAGACTGTGATAAGCATCAGGACTTTTCTGCAGTGGCCATTGCAAGCTGTGAGGCAATAGATTGGGCAGCTGTGGTGCTAACCAACTGTCCAGGAGATGCCAGTGCAAATATGAACTTGTGACTTAGAGTATCACCCCGCTGCCCTTCCTGGATGTAACCTACCTATGTAACACAAGGGCCTGCATAGCTTATGAAGCAGGCCTGCACTTATGCAGTCAGATTTAGTCTTAAGGTTCACATAGTTAACGCAATTAGAGAACAGGGAAGTTGCTATGGGAAGAGAAAACCGGAGGATTCTGAAACCACAATTGGAATATTGGATTATAAAACAGGTCAATCTTGTGATTGTCTAAAGCCTGTGGAAAAAGCTTACTGCTAGATGGATATAACTCTAATCAAAGTGAACCAGCAACAAGCTACTGTCAGTTAGTGGGAGCAGAATGAGTTTGATGAAAATTGGAATTGAGAAAAGGTGTTTATTTCATGGTTTGCTGTGGGATTTCTTTTCTTCCACTGCTTTGGGCTGCCTTCTTTAGGGGAATGGCACATGCACAGTTGCTTAGTTTGCGAGATGATATCTCTTGTCCCTAATGCACACATAGCAATTGGCGAGAACATATAGATATTTAGTGGCAAGAAATGAGAGCATTTTGTCCAGAAGCAAAACATCTGTGAGGGGAAAAGCTGGATGAGGAAAATTTTGTGCTTAGAAGCTGCTGCCCTTTTGACTCTGCCTTGTTTGTGTTAATACACAGGTGGAGAAAATGATGCAACTATTTTTTTATTTTTTTTATCCCTTCTTCCTGGACTGGTAAAACCACTGAGTGATTATGTAAACCACTAAACTATGAAACAAAATTCTCTTGGCAACAGAGTGCACTAAGAAATTGCAGCTTGGCACCCTTATTCCCTGGATCTCCTCTGTTCTCCTCTTGCATCAAAACCAACTGGGCTGGTGCCATTGTCTTCCAGTGCTCTGATCCAGAAGGCTTGCTGGTTCTGGTCCATGCGTTTCAACAGACAAACCGCTGTGCCTGGTAAAAGGCCTGAGTTTCATTCTGTGTTTCACCTCATCTTTGTTTATTTTATTATATTAACCTCTCAAAGAGAAGCTTTTGTACACTTCAAACTGTAACCACAAACCAAAGCCTGGCTTTAAATATAAAGGTCTAACTCTTCAGGGAGGAAACTCCTGTTTTCCCTATGCTAATTTGCCAGGTGTGAACAGATACTGGGAAAGCACCACTCCGTGTTAACACTTTCTTTGCCTGTGTTTATTCCCCAAGTGATGTAATGGCTGTTGTGTGATAGCTTGTTGGCTTTATAGATTTAAGCTCTGATAAAAGAACTGCAGATCTGTCAAAAATACCCCAAACTACCCTCCTTTCCTTAAGAGAAGTTTCATGCATTTGCTTGAAATTCTTGCTGTTCATTCACCACAGATTGCAAAGGATGAAGAAAGTAGGGAAGATCTTCTAGCCCGCTGATGCAGAAAAAGGGCTGTGGCTATTTTTGAAGAACAGCTTTTTGTTATGCAGTGCTGCCTTGTCTAGATCAGACTCCACTTCTTTGAAATCCCTGGAAACCTCTTGATAGGCTCGGGGTTGGACCTGGAGGGGTTTACTGTGATAGTGCTAACTGGAATTCTTCAAGCCTTTGTTCTACGTGTACCTCATGGCATGCGTTATCTTCTGGGCAGCAGCTGCTGCTTAACCTACACTTGTCAAGTTCATAGGAACAAGGTAATCGTCTGTAGCAGTCAGTCCCTTCTTCAGCAAAATGTGTGGCTGGGCAGCCCAGTGGGTAGTTGCCAGGGCCTCTCTGCTTTCCAGTATATGGTGGTTGAGAGGTCAGGTTCCTGGACAAAAAGTTCATCTTGCAGTCCATGTCCAATTGTCCTTATAGCATTCACTTGAACTCTGCAACGAGTCCCAACCCTTGCTGTTTCCACTGTTTCACGTAAAGGGTCTGTGCATTCAGGAATCCGCTTTTTTTTTTCCCTCCTTCCTGTGAGAGACATACTACTTGCTGCTTTTAACAAGGCTAAGGTCTAACCCTAACCTGTACAACACCGTAGAGTTGTTTTGTGTTGTGCACAACAGTCTGTATCTATGGCATGCTCTGTAAGTCATGATGCATGTCGTATGTTGGGTTTGGTTTGCTGCCTGCCCTGCTGTTAATACTGTTGCAAGCTGATTTTCAAGGGGTAAGAGAAAATACTTTACTTCTGACTACTGTCTGCGGGACCTAGGAATTGTTTTCTCATGACTTCTTGGAGGGCTGTGTATCTGCAACACTCAGACCAGAGAATAAGAGGATCTGCTGTCTGCCAGCACTGGGGTGTCCCTAGTACTTATTGTATATTTCCCAGTGGTTTTGTCCATTTTAAAAAATTAATCTAGTAATTCACTCCTTCCTCTGAGAGAAGACGCCCCCCCCCCCCCCCCCCCCCCCCAAAAAGAGGTTGTAGGAGAAATAGCTGAAACTCTGTGTGTGTGTTTCCCTTAGGGGTCCATTTCTGCTAGACACATGCTAGATGTGGTGGGTGGCAGGGCTGAGCGTTGCCAAAGTCAGAGGGCCTTGCCGACAGTTTTTCCAAGCTTTGTTTCCTTCTTCCTCTTAAATCAATGAGAGAATGGACCACCTCTCCTGGCTGCCACATTAGCCAGTTCGTTTGTGCCAAACATGCCCTGTGCCTTCACAGTGGGCTCTGGCCTGCCTGCCCTCTGTGTCCCTGCGGTGTCTGCCTTTCTGAATGCAGCAGTACTTGTTCCCCTCTCCTCTCCCTCCTTCCCCTTGCCTACTGGTGGGACGTGGATCTGTTTCCAATCTGCAGGCAGCTCCACTAGGACAGTCTCTAACTGCATCCATCTCACTGTGTGGATCCACATCAGCCTTCCTGCACAGGGAGGGGAAACCTCTAGTTCCAAACAGAAGACTTAAAAATGTAACTTTGAAATAAAATTTTTTTTCCTCTGGAGTTTTCTCGTGCTCTTGAAAACAGCATCTAAAGCAGCTCTTTGAGTTAAATGTGTCCTTGGGACTCTGCTGCTGTCACTGAGTTTGAGAAGACCCTTAACCACACAACGTACTTGGAGATCCTGTGGAAATGCTGTGAAAATTACTGATGTCAGAGCAGCAACTAGACCAGCAACAGCATATGCAAGTCATGTATTTACACAGCAATGTCACTAAGTAGTGTTCACAGTCACTTTAAAAGTTCAGTATTAAATTGTTGATGCTTTTTCCCCCGTTTCTTTTTTCTAATGTTTTGCTGAAGAAAATGTAACTATTTATTTTGGCAGAAATATACCTTCTAATAAAACTTTCTCAATATATTTACCTGGCTGTGGTAGGTTGCTTGCCTTGCCTTTTAAAGACTTATTAAATATTTTTTGAGTGCACTGTATGATGTGGGTTTGTTTTGCTGGGCCCTATCCAGTTCATCCTGTTCAAAGTCCTCTCAGGTTAAACATGCATCAGCATTCAATGAATGGGGCATTGACCTCGAGGTGAAAAATGGTACATTTTGGCCCAGTTCTGACTTCCTCAAGCCAAAATGCCCCAAATTATATTAGTCTCTGTTTTGTTGGAGCTTCTGCGTGTACCCTGGTTTCCAAGAGGAACTAAGCACTGTCGTGTGCGAACTGCAGGTGCTTGGCGCCTGTGAAAGGATTAGTAAAAAATTATTCACAAATTTGAAACTTCTCCAATCCAGGGTGGCTCTTGAGGAAATTGAACCCTGTCTCTTACACCTCTGTTTACCAGTTGGTCAAAGAGATGATACTGGCTGTTGCGTATCTGTCTATTTTCAGTTAGATACTCGGGTCTTCCCTGGTTAGTCTTCAGCTGGGGCACAGGGAAACTGACAGCCCTTGGACTCCGGGGAAAGCCCAGGGAGCCATGCATGGCTCCTCTGGTACTGCCAGCTGAGCTGCAGAGCTGGGATCCCCAGGGACAGGTCAAACAACGCCACAGAGGTCGGGGTTTGTTACTGCAGGTGCCTGGTAGGTGCTGCAGCGCTTGGGCTTTTGTTTTTCTTTTTCCAGTCTTTTGACAGCAGTGAAGTGTAGGAAGATACTTTCTGTCTGTGTGCTATCACAGGACAGGCACGAGTGCTGTAATTAATATTATAGCATGCAGCTGACAAAGCAAACAGCTTTTTCACCTCTAATGACAGCAAAGAACAAACATCCCAACTCGGTGCCGTTAATCGCTGAAGTTGATCTTTCTTCCATGTATCAGCCTGGGCGCCGGGCAGTGGCTGCGGCTCTGCCGGGGGAGCGGCTGC